AAAGATTACTGATTAAATTTATTTTAATTAAAAATAAAATATATTTTATTGGTGATTTTTCAAATTGAAAAAATAGAAAATAATTATTAAATTACTGACAGATACGATAAAATTTAGCTAAATGCATAATTAATTAAAATCTGTAGCTAGTGTTTATTGGTATATATGCATGAATTACTTGTATGTAATTGATGGCTAACTTGACCACGATTTTGTGATCTAACACAGTAACATGTTAATAAGTGTGAAAGATCGTGTTTGAATCTTGTCGGTCATATTATTTCACCGACGAATTAGCGACGAATTTTAATGAATTATGTATTTAATTAAATTATCGTTAATCCGTCAATATTAACCAAATTATTTTCTATTTTTCTAATTTGAAAAATCGTCAAGGAAAATATTTTATTTTTAATTAAAATAAATTTCATCAGTAATTCTTTTTAAATATTTTTTTAATTTGAAAAATTACATTCAAAATATATTTTATTTTTAATTAAAATAAATTTGAAAAAACTAACAGAATATATTTTATTTTTTATTTTTAATTAAAATAAATTTCATCGACAATCTTTTTCAAATGTAAGTATTTTTTTGCTATAGTTGTTTTATTTTATAAATGTAAGTATATTTTTTTCAAAAATGTTTAGGGACTTAATCGTTCAAAATATAAAAGTCTACTGGGTTTTTTAGACTTTTTTCATTATTTTACCATATTAACCAGTTGTATATATTATAAGAATGTATTTAACAGGTTTTATAAAATCCAATGAGTTATTTAACATGTTTTGGAATGTTCAAGGACTTACTTGTTCTAAAAAATTGTCTAAAGACTTAATCATTCCAAACACTAAAATTCATTGGGTTTTTTTAGATTTTTCCCTTATTTAAATTCGTTTTCATTTGCATCTAATTCTCTTAAGGGGCCTCGCATATCTCCTTTTTTTTCTCAAGTAAAATCATTTCCCTTATTTAAATTGATCTTCTAACGATTTTTCTTTCATGTTGACCTAAGTATCACTATTTTCGTGATATCCTAAAAGACAAAAATAAAGTCAAACTCAACCAGTTTATCGTCACAATTACGTACTTAGTCGTCCCAATTGTATATTTGTTTTGAATTTGAACTTTAAAGTAGTGACATTTAAGTCAACCCGAAAGAAAAATGATTAGAAGACGAATATGGATGAGAGAAATAATCATTTGAGTCAAGTACTCTTTTGTCCACCGTAATAAATAAAGCTTGTGAACAAACTATAAAAACAATATCCAATAATTTTACCAACGGGGTCAAAAATGTAATTTACTATTTCTACCACTTGGAAAAGAATTTTGGCTGACTTTGTTTAATCGGTTGCATCTTTAAAAACGATTGGATGCAGGGCCGTCTTTGGGAGGGCGGGTCGGACGTATGCCTAGGTCTATAAAAATTGGGGGCCCAATTTTTTTAATATATATAATAGTAATTTAAAAAATTAATAAATAGAAGACATATAAAAAATTTAGTATCTAATATGACAAGAAAAAACTTTTATACTATATTAAATATTAAAGACTCAAACATGTATGAATTATATATATTGAAGAAAAAAAATACACAAATAGGTTAATCTGTCGTTCATTATTTAATGTTTTTCTAAGTTTTTTTAATCTAAAACTACTTGCTTCGAAAACTTTGATATATTCTCTATAATTTATCTCCCATCGACTTTGTTGATTGTTCTATTCTCATGTGAATTCTATTTTTATATTAAAATATGATTGGATTTCTTGTTATTAGCAAAGAAAACACCCATTTTTTGAAAAAAATTACCAACTATATAAGATGTACAACTTATATTTATATTTAGAATAATAAAACTATAACTGTTTTTTAATAGTTGTTATTTATTATCTAATATTGAGTTTATAAATCTTATGTACTATTATATCTCTAAAAGAAGAATAAGATATCAAATTATCACCAACATGAGTTTTTTAATTTATATAATCGATGATTCCATAAAAATTTGTTTTAACCCTAACTCTATGTTTTTAAGTTTTTTTTTACGTAAGAAAGAGAGGAAAGTAATAGGGAAAAGAAAAATATTATGTTCTCGAGATTTTTTTAGGGAAAAGAAAAGAAAATGAAAGGAAAAAAGTTATATCAAAATTTATTTTTATTTCATTATTTTTCCTTCCTCTCTCTTCTTTATTAAAAACACAAATAAAAAACTTTATTTTTCTTCTTTCCTATTATTTTTCTTTTCCTTTCTCATTCTTTCTATCCTTCCCAAATTCGAAAATATAATATAAAAGTTTAAAATGGTGTTAATCTTCTAAAATTGGAAAACATAATATAAAAATTTAAAATAGTGTTAATCTTCCCAAATTCGAAAACATAAAATAAAAGTTTAAAATGGTGTTAATCTTCCCAAATTCAAAAACATAATATAAAAGTTTAAAATGATGTTAAAAAACATTAACATGACATGGAAAACCAACATCTTTATATTGTTTTACATAGTGTCACTCGAAAATCATAAGAATTCACTTTGAGACCCCAAATGATATTATTCTATGTACCAAAAGTATATCATAGGATGTTTTTTATGATGAAACAAATTACTGATACTACATAAAATTGTTCTATTAGATAATATTAATTTAGAAATGAGTATTGATTGATTTTGTATCCAGAAATACTCGAAAAAACGATTTTATATGAATTCAATGTTATTTCTGATGATAAAAACAATATATTAAAAAAATATCATACTTATCGAATGCCCTTTTTTTACATCTCGCTCAGGGCCTAAAAAATGTCAGAAACGGACTTGATTAGATGCAAAAGTCATAAACCAAACCAGCCTAAAATACCTTATCTGGATATTCTATCTGAATGTGGGATCTGAAGGGTAAATTCCATCTGAATGTAAAAAACAGGTCATAATACAAAATAAGAACTAAATATATATAAGTTCAAAGTCAAGTCAATTCATGGATGCTGAGAGAAGTCAAACAATTCATTAGTTCTTCAATCTATTCAACACCAAAACGAAGAGACTGATTAGTAACATCGATTTTTTTTTTCGACTGCGTTTTCTTGTCAAAGGCTCTTTTCGGGCACTACAACGCCAAAAGCTTCTCCGAGGTTCAGATTGGTTCTCATGGTTCTCCTCCCGATCCCTCCATTGCCCTTCCTCATCATCGCAGCAAACTCCCCGTAATCGATCTGTCCATCCTGCACCAACACGAGCCTATAGTCGGTTAAAAACCTTCGACATTTCTTTCACCCGCCTACTGCACTCTTGTCCGTGCAGTCTCATATGTGTATCAAACACACCGTAAAAGGGTCATTATAAACAGATGGTTGGTTCCAACGTATATGCAAGTTTGATGGTTCGTGCCTAAGTGACGTGGGACTCCAACACGCCACCTCAAAAGGCGGCAAAAAATGTGTCAGATTCCCTACTAAAAAAATGGTTCGTAAGCACTACTTAACCTGATAAGAGTCTATAAGCACTTACAAAACAATGTCTTAGTCGTTTGTGGTTACTTGTTGTTTTGTTAAACTCATATGGGCCGAACTTACGTTATCTTGGTCGATTTCCTTGACGATCTCATCAAGTCGAACTTCACCTAAACCGAAGTCTTCACAAGCTTGTTGGAGCTCGTCAATCGTTATGTAACCACTCCCATCCTTGTCGAAGAACGAAAATGCCGACAAGAGATTCTCCTCTCGCTCCAGCTTGTTCAAGTGCACCGTTGCAGCAAGAAATTCACCATAATCGATTGTTCCACTGTTGTCGATATCTGCCTGCCAGATGAAAGATTTTCACCAATTTGTAGAAGTCCAGAAAGAACAACCAAGAAAAGGCAAAACAGTGGGAGCTATACTTACGGCATCCATTAGGTCCTTGATCTCCGACTCCATAAGTTCAGAACCCACTTTTCTCAGACCCTCTTTCAGTTCCTCGAAAGTAATTGTTCCGCTATTGTCTGTATCTATCATTTTGAACAACTCCTTCAATCCACCGATTTCTTCTTCTGAAAGCCTTTCCGCAATCACCTATGAATAGCCAGAGTTAGCAGCATGAAATCCCGTTATGTTTCAAAAGAGAACTAAAGCAAAATAAGCTTACCCGTAAAGCCATCTTCTTGAGCTTGTTCATTGCAGAGAACTGTTTTAGGCGCGATAATACTGCAGAATCAAGTGGCTTATCGGGTGCCATTTTGTCATCAACAATCCACGGGTGGCCTGTTACAAGAACGAGAACGGTTATTAGTAAGATATTACTGTCTTTACAGCAATAGCAACACCTTTGTTATGCAATTCTTTTCGGCTAAAGTTGTTTACATAGAACTTCATGGGCGGTAAGCCTTTTCTTTGGATTTCTGTCGAGCATTTTCCTTATAAGATCTTTAGCGCTGTCTGTGATTGCCGGCCATGGCTCAGATTCAAAATCTAGTTTTGCTTGTAATATCTGACGGAAGATGCCTATTTCAGTTTCTGTAGATAACAATACACGTTTTCCGAAAGAAAAAGGTTAAACCTTTAGACTAAATTAAACACATTATAGTAAAAGATTACAAACCAAACGGACCCTATATATCCCGCACAGAGGTAGGGTCCAGGGGTAGGATGTATGCAGACGTTGTCTTTATCCCAAAGAATAGAGAGGTTGTTTCCATGAAGATATGTAGTAGAAGATTACAAAAAGATTGCAAACATACCTGCCCAAAAGGGGGGAACACCGCTCAGTAAGATGTACAAAATAACCCCTGCACTCCAAACATCAGATTCGGGTCCATAATGTTTACGTAAAACCTCTGGTGCAACGTAGTAAGGGCTTCCAACCACATCGGAAAATGTTTCACCTAAATTTTGGAACAAGAATCGTGAGTTGTTTTAGAGTATGAAAGAAGGGAAATCAACAACTAACATCGTGATTGCCAGCATAGTGTATTTCTTGAAAATAAAATGTGGTCAACTGTTAAGGTGTACGGAAAGTGGCTGTAAACTGTGTTTGTAATGTAATGCTCAAAATGAATCAAAATATATGAAAGAACAAGATCACTACACAAGTCAAGGCACGCGACCCATATGTTAACACACAACAATAACGTTTTTACAGGCTTAGAGGCCCAACATATTGCTTTCATCATCCAATGAAAGTTTCTTTTTTGGCACCATGGGTGTCCAGGCCAGCTTGCGCATATCCCATGGGACCTGAGGAGACTCGAACCGGCGACCTACAAGGAGGAGCCTCAAGGCCTAGCCCTTATATACCAGTTGACACCTTCAAAGAAAACCAACTATGGACTTAGAAAATAAGAGACCACACTTCATGTTCGTACAAATTTATGTGGCATCTTTACCTTAATAAGAAAGAATTCCTACAGAGAGGGCAGCCAAGATTAAAGCAAAGGAGGTGGAAGCTTTGTGTTCTTGCAGTAGGAAGCATTTCATTAAAATCTAGAAGATATCTGCAGATAAATACGGTACACTCATTTGCTCAGATTACTATGAGCGGACATAGCTTCATATTCTCTGGAAATATCCCTTCTTGAGTTCTTCCATGGCCTACAAGGGACTGCCAGATCAACGGCATCCTTATTCTTTAGATTAGAATATGTATAACTTATCCCCTAAAGTTTCTTGCGTGTGAGATTCCTTTAAGAGAACGTACGTTTTTATACATTTACTTAACTGATAATAATATATGAAAGCACTTTTGGGGGTTCTTCTGTAGCGGGCTAAATCAAGATTTCAATTTTCAGTATTAATTCACAGACAATCATTTGTGAATAAAAGCATATCAGGGGCCAATCCTTTGTGAATAAAAGCAGACATTTTGTGTTTCTACCACTAGAATTTCACGAATATCATGTTCTAGAAGGTACCTATCCCCCATGGGTTCAGAATTACAAGATCAAGAATAACTTGAAGCATCAAATTTATCTAACTTATAAAAAAATGCTAACATCATTAAAGCGACTGCGAAAACAAATCAACATTCATCACACGTATGCAGGAAGAAGTCCCATTAATGTACCCAAAAGTAATTACTTCGATTTTTATTTATGTGAAGTAGGTCTATCCATGTCACCTACTTCGAGCAAAACAAAAATGAAGACACGGTAGGGACAACACAGGGACTTCTGACACGTTAGACGTAAGATTTACTCAATGATGGAAAAGAAGCTAGCATATGACAGAAACAACCAAGTGCTCGTAAACAAAGTCCAGGGGGACCGCCCATACAACAATTAAGCATTCAAGAAAGTTATATATAAATGTAAGAAATCTCAAAGGGACAAAAGAGAAGAAAGTCACCAACTGTAAAATTCACGAAGCAAACAAGAAAAGACTCAGCTTTATCAAGTGAAAAGGGTAACTGGATGGAACGACTCGACAACCAGTGACTCTGGTTAGGATATGGGATCCTTTGGATAAATGACCTTAAGTGAGCTTTCAATTAGGAGCATGACCTTTTAAAAGAATTAGCTCAATGATCTTTATCTGAGTTAAAAACAGTCTGCTCCCGGCGGTTAAAAACAGTCTGCTTCTGTATAAACTTAGAAATACAATGTAGGGTCATTGGCAAAACCAGCTTCTAGAGAAGGTCATTAAGCTAAATAGCTCTTGGAATATGTGGAACCCCTTTGAGTTCTGTCTAGAAGAGACCTACCCAAGATTTTTCTCGGATACAGGTTTGATGGTCACTGTGGGCTCCAAGTCTCCAACAGGTCTCAAGAGCAAAAACTAGGAATTTTCTAAATTACTGACAATAATTCATATCGTTTCATCTTGTTATGAAGGTATCTCCAAAAGAAACTACCTCAGTAGCACCCTAAATCACAAATTAATGAGAGGGTATGATCAAATAACAGCAAGAAAGACAATTCAAAGCCAATACATACAAAACCCCAAATTAGATGCAGATAAAGGAAACCCACATAACAAGATTAGGTATAGGATAACCCAAGAAAGAAACGCCAAAAAAAGATTTCAAAAGAACAGGAATTAAACCTGGTTTGTAGAAGACAGACAACCCGAAATCAGTGGCTTTAAGAGCAGCATCTTCATGGGTGGTAGAAAAGAGGAAATTTTCAGGTTTAAGGTCTCTATGCATAACACCCAAAGAATGACAAGCTTCAACAACACCAACAATGGTTTTAATCAACTTAGCAGCCTCTCTTTCACTATATTGGCCTTTCTGCACTATTCGATCAAACAACTCCCCACCAGCACACAACTCCATAACTATATGAACATATAAAGCATCTTCATAAGTCCCTTTGATCCTTACAACATTGGGATGCTCAGATAAATGGTGCATTATTTGAATCTCTTTCAAAACGTCTTCATAATCCTCTCTGCATATAAGCTTTTTCTTGGGTATGGATTTGCAGGCATAAGGAATGCCTGTGGACTTCTCCGTGCACAGATGAGTCGTACCAAACTGCCCTTGCCCCAACTTCCTGCCGATTGTGTACAAGTGCTGAAGGTTTGGGGTTTTATGCTTGAGAACCCAGTTGGGTTTTGAATTAGATGATGGGGGTGGGATTGATTTCTTGATGATTGGGGGTTTTGTGGGTTGTGGTGAAGTCGAAGTTGATGAAGACGACATTTTCTTCTCTCAAAGCTGCAACCTTTACCAAATGGGTCAATGCAAGAAAACAAGACTTATGAGAAATAAAGGTTTATAGTACGAGTTGCAACTCACCAAACCATGAACAGAGGGGGGAAAACAACTGTTTTGGGACCCCAGATCGCTCTTATCCCCAGAAGTCCTGAAAAAAAGAGAGATAGAGATGGAGAGAGAGAAGGAAGATTGGGTTTCTTTCTTTGATGATGATGATGGTGAAATGAATGAAATCTCTCTCTTTCTCTCTCAAAAACTACCTTTTGAGAAGATGGAAATAGACCAAGTCTAAGTTTGGATGAAATGCATATTAATTTTGCAAGAAAAAAAAAGGGTTTTGAAAAAATCTGTCTTTTAATTGCAATAAAGATGCAGAGATAGTACACTGAATATAACCTGTGAAAGATTCCACTGATGATGTCTGTATGAATTCATTTTCTTGCTGAATGAAATTAAGCAAAAGAAGATAACGATAAAACATGGCAACAGCATCACTCGTCCTATCTCTTTTGGCTTATTGTTTTTTTTTAATCATATTGCTTTGCTTTTGGGTTTATGTAACGTTTTCAAGCAAGTTGATATAATGGTCTTATCGGTAAATGTTATTGATAACTAACAACTTTAAGTTTATCAGAATGATCGACTTTAATTATGTTTGTAACGTCTCAAATCATAAAGCAAAAGACTGGCCTAATAATTCTCTTTTTTTTAGTGATTGAGGTGGAGTTTGGGATTGCTTATTTGAAACAAGTTATCTATATCTATACTATATTATAAAACATTTGATAAAAACTCTTAAAAATCATTTTTTATGCATGAATTACTGTATATTGATGCATATTATTTAAAATTCAAGATTACAAATAAATTATGCATAAGTACAACTTATTAAAGTTTCATGTTTGAATTCGTGTAACTAACTGCGGATAAACATAATCAAATAGAGGATAAACATCTCATTTTAAAATATAAAAAATCTAAAATATAATTAGGATAATTATCGAGTTATAACAAAATAATTAATTATTATTTTTACAAAAAAATTATATTATTAAATCAAATATAAATTACTTCGCTATTGAACCTAAATTAAATTATAATAATAAAAAAAATGAATTAAAAAATTACACAAAAAATATAAATATAAATAGTTAATTTGATACTAATATCGTTTTTTCAAAATCATATAAGACCATATTATAACATCGACCGAGATAAAAAATAAAATGAAATATTAAAATCAAGATGTATCTCGTTGCATTGCGCGAGTACCATTCTAGTTATATTCTAAAGTATTTGACAAAAACTCTTAAAATCATTTTTATACATAAAGTACTGTTTATTAATGTTTGTTACTTAAAACTCAAGATTACAAGTATATTGTGCGTAAGTACAACTTATTAAAGCTTTATATCTGAATTCGTGTAACTAACTGCAGATAAATATAATCAAATATAGGATAAACATCTCATTTTAAATA